ATACCGAAATCGGGACCTTAATCTTGTCTTAGATTCATTCCAATGTGTACTTGTATAAGCACTAGATTGCATCAAGTTTCCAAATAAACAAGTTAAAATGCCGGGGCACTTGTGCCTGGCCTTGAGTACCATGCTGGTTGCTAAGAGAAATGCATAGCATTTACATGAGAACTGTCCCATGGCTCTGTGGATGCAGCTCCCTTCGCCAGTTGAGGCTGACGTTCTGTGCCCGCCCCTGTTTTCCGATTAAATACACTTCGTCGCTAAACTATTCCAAGGGAGATGGAGCGTCTCAATAATGCCACCTATCAACCAAGCGCCCACATGCTAACCATAACTATTCACAGGAAAACACTAAAATGCCGAGTTCTGTACTTACGATTCAAAGAGTACTAGATCGATTTCAACCTTTTAGAATTGTTCATAAACGACACACCCGTTGAATCATAATTTGGCTTGTCTAAACCATAACTTGACTCGATTAGATAGAAAAAATGCCTAAAAATCTTGTACTCTTTGGTCTTTGATCAAAAAATTAGAAAAAAACTCTATTGGATTAAACAAAATCAGTAAAAAACTCCCTCGATGGTCATACAAATTATTAACTGATTTAGAATAATAGTCGGGGGGAAATCAAAAAGATGTGTCATTGGATCATCAAATTTGCTCAAGATAAGCCAAACGAATAACAATTTTAATTAGTAAAAAACGAAACGTCAATCACAATACTAAAGATACTAATAATGCTAATGCTGATCAATCCAAAAAGTTAAATTCCATCCCTACCTACACAAACGTACAAGGGTCTTCCATCTTTAAATATGTGGAGTGGAAAAGAGACAAAGAGGTGAATTGATATGGGTTACATCAAACAAGCTCTTGAAATGGAAGTGAGGTGTATAAAAGTGAAAATCTTCCACAGCGAACACTAAGAATGCTAAGACAATTGACCGAGATCACATAGATAAAACATACACGTTAATACTTTCGATCATGATATAGAACACATCAATGTGAAATTTGTGTGCATGCACACTGAGAGCTGCTGACCAGAAACCCGACTAACAAACAACTTTGTTTTGATTACACACATGTTCGACAAAAATACACTTCACATACCAATATTCCTGTCTGGGAGCAGGAATTCATCACACACTGATCACTTAAAGTTGCAGACATAAATGAGTTTTAGATTCGACTGGACGAAGAAAGACGTGAATCACAAGGAAAAGAAAACACGATAACTAAAAGGAATATGTCTACCCCATGATGTGCTGTCCAGTGCCAACATCTGACCAATTCCTCAACCTTCAGCAGGAACCTAGGGAATGAGCTTTGTAATCCTTCTCCCAATTCTTCCCATTCATGTGCAGCTGGATGGATACCAATGATCATGTCTAAACTATAACCCAGTTCCTCTTCCGACATTTCTCCACCGCCCTTGGAGCTGCACACAAAAGCAAAAAACAAGCCTCTGAAATGTCAAATGCCAAATGCCATTATATTGACAGTTAACTAACCAAATTGATTTTAAGGAAAGATAACTCAACAATGGGAACCTAAATATGCACATATCAAGAGTAAGTGGTAAAATGGAAACAAAATCTGCAAAAAAGGTTATGTTTTCTGTTCTGATAATCTGTGAGGACCCGATGTACTAATATGTAGATACTCACCAAGACCAATGGCATCAGAACCCTTCATGATCCTCAGTCTCCTGCATGTGTCAATATACATCCTACCACGTGTGTAAACAGTAATCAGATTGCATGTACACTATGCAACTTATTAGAGAACACTCAGGACAGCATTAATTTGTCAAATTTCGTAGTTTCTAGCAACGTTGATGCAATTTTTAGTTCATTAAGATATAAATATAAGCAGCAGCAATGTCTTACTTCATCACCAAGGTTCTATTTGTTTCAGCAGAAGTAAACAATGATGCAAGTAATGCGTTCAAGGTGATTGATGACGAAACTGAGACAACAAAGGCAATCAGTAATAGAGTAATATTACTATAGAAAGATCTCAGAATGAAAATTTTAAACCAGGATATTGCCAGAAAACCAATCCAAAAAAGGGTAAGCACATGTCATCATATGGGGAGGTGGAGACTGATATGAATGGCATAATACAAATATATTCCTGTAAGAATAACAGTAACATTGAACCTCCAACCATAAGTAAATCCCTCCCAATAAGCGATTGGCAATTCAGACAACTGTCGGCGTGCCCTGTCTAGCATCTTTTAGATCACTCCAAAATATGTGTAGATGTACTTAAAATTCTGCATAAAACCACAATTATTTTCCCTTTCCATGAATGTACTTATAAGATTACCATAATGTTCATCAATGCCTTACATTTTGCACCTACACCTTGACTATCGACATACATACGTTTACACTTTACAGTATTACAGTATGGCAAAATGGCACATATAAAACTGAGGTAAACTAAAAAAATGCCACTATTTTGTCCATGCTCCTGGATGTGGATCCTGGAAAATTGATGCCGATTGAAGAAATGAATATTTAGTGCGCTAGTAAACAACCTGACTTAGAAGGGGCTTTAAGTGTCTCTCCATGGCCGGCAGCTTAGCTCATTTGGCACCTCAAAATAAATAAGTATATCCTTCTCAAGAAACTGTTAGGTTTTACCTGACACCAACCATCGAAGACCGATTAGTAAATGCACTTAAAAGATATGATCCAGTTGTTCTCTCTCATTTTTCAGATTACCAGTTTGCAATTGTACTCTTTGCCATCAGATAGCAGTAGAATCACAACAAAATATAGTGGTTGTGCCATCCCCATGACACAGTCTATTCTTGTCGCACATAAAATCTCAAATTCCTTCCTTATACTATGAACATTGCTCCAAGTGATCTACAGGTCCAATATATATCCTGATAAGATTGTTCCCACATGGTGTCCTCGAGTGACTTCTTCTGTCATTTAGTACAAAGCAGGTTTGCTCAGTTTATGATTCTCTTCCACCAACAATAACTGTGGCTATTATTCTTAATTTTAAGAACCAATCTTGCATCTAACATTTCATTCAGTTGCACATATGGCCACTAAAACTACTAGCAGCCCCAAGGCATCCCCTCCAAAACTAGCCACTTCGTCACTTTCTTTTAAACCCTGAAAAGTAGTGAAATCATACTAGTGAGACAGAAACCATAGGTGCATACCCAATCAATCATCAGTAAAATCTATGGCATCAAAAAGGAATGATTAACAGAACAAACGTAAGGAATCGGAGCTACCACATTTTCTTTCCCTGAATTTTGTTTTTAAAAAATTTCTCAAATTGACAGAAAAAAATTTCTCGAAGTAGGAAGAGAATGAATTTCCATGTTACTTCTCACTTGACACATCTGACTAGATTTTTACAAAATTCTCTACCTATTCCATATTGTTTCCCTCAGCCTTGATGACACAAATTTAGTTGATGATCACCAATTACATTATTATATTAAGAAATGTTAAATGCCATTAACATTGCCAAATCAATAAGGTGAAAATTGAAAGATAACTAACCAAATTGATTCTAAGGAAAGATAAGTCAAGAATGGGAACCTAAATATGGACATATCAAGAGTAAGTGGTAAAATGGAAACAAAATTTGGAAAAAAGGTTATGTTTTCTATTCTGATAATCTACGAGGACCCCGATGTACTAATATATAGATTCTCACCAAGACCAATGGCATCAGAACCCTTCATGATCCTTAGTCTCTTGCATGTGCCAATAAACATCCTATCACGTGTGAAAACAGTAATCAGATTGCATGTACACTATGCAACTCATTAAAGAACACTACGGACAGCATTACTTTGTCAAATTTCATAGTTTCTAGCAATGTTGATGCAATTTTTAGTTCATTAAGATATAAATATAAGCAGCAACAATGTTTTACTTCATCACCAAGGTTCTATTTGTTTCAGCAGAAGCAAAAAATGATGAAAGTGATGTGTACAAGGTGATAGATGATAAAACTGAGACCATAGAGGAAATCAATAATAGAGTAATATTACTATAGAAAGATCTCAGAATGAAAATTTTATGAATTGTATAGTAATACAAATATATTCTTGCAAGAATAACAGTAAACCTCCAACCACAAGTAAATCCCTCCCTATAAGCGATTGGCAAGTTAGACAACTCTCGGCGTGCCCTGTCTAGCATCTTTTAGATTACTCCAAAATATGTGTCGATGTACTTAAAATTCTGGATAAAACCACAATGATTTTCCCTTTCCATGAATGTACTTATAAGATTACCATAATGTTCATCAATGCCTATATTCTGCACCTACACCATGAAAATCAACATATATACATTTACACTTTACAGTATGGCAAAAATGGCACATATAAAACTGAGGTAAACTAAAAAACTGCCACTATTTTTTTCATGCTCCTGGATGTGGACCCTGGAAAATTGGTGCCGATGGAAGAAATGAATATTTAGTGCACTATTAAACAACCTGACCTAGAAGGGGTTTTAAGTGTCTCTCAGTATATCCTTCTTAAGAAACTGTAAGGTTTTACCTGACACCAACCATCGAAGACCAATTGGTAAATGCACTTATATGACCTAGTTGTTATCTCTCATTTTTCTAATTACCAGTTTGAAATTGTACACTAAGCCATCAGACAGCTATAGAATCACAACAAAATATAGTGATTGTGCCATCTCCATGACACAGTTTATTCTTGTCACATAAATCTCAAATTGCCTTCCTTATACTGTACAAATATACTATGAACATTGCTCCAAGTGATTTACAGGTCATACATCCTGATAAGATTGTTCCCACATGGTTTCCTTGAGCGACTGCTACTGTCATTTAGTACAAAGCAGGTCTGCTCAGTTATGATTCTCTTTTACCAACAATAACCGTAGCTGTTATTCTTAGTTTTAAGAAACATTCTTGCATCTATCATTTCATTCAGCAATTATAGACCATTGCTTCTATGGCCGCTAACATTACTAATAGTCCCAAGGCAGCCCCTCCAAAACTAGCCACTTCGTCACTTTCTTTTAAGCCCTGAAAAGTAGTGATATCATACTAGTGTGACAGAAACCATATTTGCGTACCCAATCAATCATCAGTAAAATCTATGGCAACAAGAAGGTACAATTAACAGAACAAATGTAAGGAATCGGAGCTTACTCCAAGTGACATCACCAACAAGCATCCAGTCCCCATCTTTATCCTCATAAGTAAGGACGTACTCAGGTCCATGCAGTAAATCCTTCAGCTTGCGCTCACTCAGCATATCCCTACCTGGAGGTCCATGAGACCCATACTGACCTGATATCATACCAAAAGAGCAGTAACAGTACCCATGCAAAAGACAAGGATGATATCCATTACTCAATACTTGCGTCTATTTGTTACGATTGCTGTACCATTTGAAACTGTAAAATAGGTCAACTATGGTAAAGCAGCTAAACATCTTCTCAAGGGCAGAAGAGAGCTCCTGATATGAAGAGTATGATCTCAGGTCCACTTTCCTTAGATAAGGAGCACCGTCCATGCTGACCTTAATAAACATTGCACCGGGTCCCGCTTTTCCATCAACTTCCTAAGCATTCTTTGAAGTAGAAGCCAATGTGTTCTTCCTAAACGATCTAGCAGGCGGCCAACCCACAACCTGTGCCCTGTCATGAATGAAAGATCAGAGAGCATCCTCAACATTTACTACTAATGTTCTCAACATACCCTCTTCTTAAATCATCTGCACATACTTTGTAGCAGGTGCACTGCTGTTGTTATTTGCAGTGCCAACACGATCTGCAACGATCTCACTACCAGTGCGAGGCTTCTCTTCAGCTGTGTTCTTGGAAATCACTTCTTTTGTTTTGGGTGGTTGGGTTCCAGTGTTTTCTTTCACAGAATCTGATTTCAAAACTGAGTTCAGGGAAGGCCTGGGTGAGAGTATCACATTTACCTCCAAACTGACAAGAAATGTTCCCTGGAAGAAATTAAGCAGTTCCAGAGTCAGATCAACTACAAGAAATTATCCAATTTCATCAGTAAGTGCTTTGTTTTCACCTCTGCAAAACCCTCCATAACATCTGAGAAACCCCTTTTGTTGCCAGGACCAACCGTCTTATGTGATAACAAATAATTACCATACTTCAAAGGATGCAAAGGAAAAACTGGCTTCTCATCGAGATTTGGCGAGCACAGCAAGGAAAACTCTGAATCCCCCTCTGAAGACTGGGATCCAGGAAGCCCAAGCCTCAGTTCTGTGGCCTTCAAATTCAGACAGCCATTATTGTCTCCCGATGTGGTGGATATTGTAGAGCTACCTACGGAAGAACAATCAGACAACCCCATGTAGTTATGCTCTTTCAGTCCCGAGATGTTTTGACATATATTATGGTCCAAGGAGGCCGGAGAAGCCAACAAAGTGATGTTACTCTGATTCGCTTCCTCCCCAGCACCAAGCAGTGGCGGAGACATCACAATTTCGGACAAAACTCCAACTCCTTTTTCCTTTCTATATGCCCAAACCTGCTTAATTAAGGACAATTGACACAATTCTATCCTTTTAATCTGAAAATTCAAACAGAAGACCAACAAGATGAAAATAACAACATAAGAACCAAACTCTAAAAAGAGAAAGCCAACAAATTTGATAAACCGGCCAGTCTAAAACAGACCATCCCATAAAAACTATCTGAATTACAATCTCAAGATTCTCCTATACAGTAATCAACATATCTAAACCTAATTATCTTCTAAAAGCCACCAATCCAAAATACAAACAGTACACAAACCCAAATTCATGACAATTGTAAAAGTAGCCTATACAGTAACAAGCATTTAAAGTAGTTGAAATCTTCTAATCTAAAGACAATACCATTAAGGGATAAAGCCAAGAGTGAGTAAAAATTGACCCTTTCAAGTATTAAGGAACAATAAATTGCCAAAGATATAACCAACTTAAAAAAAAAAAAATCCAATTCACTGCAAGGAGCTCAAAATCAAAAAACCAATTCTCAATGAATATCTATCCCACAGTTTGTGCACGCAATCACAGACATATAGGTAGGTACTAACCCATAAACATATTTCTCAAATAGTCATAAATCTCAGGTAATTTATCAAGTAGAAGAGTTCATAGTCTAAAAGACCAAACATTTTCCAACCAAATCAAAACTCTTAAAGGAGATTTAGAACTCCAAAACATACTCAATATCTGAAGTAATTACAAGGAATAACTAACCTAAAGCACAGCGTGAAAAATAGAAGGCCTGAACACAGAAGAAATGTAGAAAGTGAGGCTCAAAGAAAGAGATTTACACTTACCTGAAGTAGCTGCTGGATCAGCTTTAGTGATAAAGTAAGAAAGACCAGGAAGATGATGACGACGACGACGTAGTGTTTGATTTGCAGTGAAGAATTCACAGAGAGAGAGAAGGCTAAGAACCTTCCATTTGGCAGAAAGTTACAAAAGCTTATTTGCTCTCCGTCGTGAAACTCAACGCCAGCAAAATAACCGCTTCTGCCTTCAACAAATGCTTTGCAAGAGAAAGGAAATGAGGGAAAAAGCAAAAAGGATAGAAATTCTTTTTCCCCCTAGAAAAGGAAAAACAAAAAAAAAAGTGAGAAAAACTTTTTTTTTTCAATCTTTTATTAGTTACTAAAAATATGTACATAGTATTTAGCTTGTCAAATTTCAATCGAATTTGTGGCTTGTTGTGTCGAATACTATAACCACATAGAGAGAATGTTGAGAAGAGAATCGAATCTTCAATCTACTGGTCAACAGTAAGGGATATTCAACTATTAAGTTAAGTTTAAAGTTCGGTGTCGTATCTATTTGAATTCACATCATTGTTCATCATACAAAATAGAATTTTCATAACATATAATTTTTAAATAGGAGTATGTATGGTAGTATGTGAAGCTCCTATTATTGTCAATTTGGATGATCATCATATATATCATCTTATTCTTATATGTGAAGAGTTATTTTCATGACTTATTATTGATATTGGCATTTATTAAAAAAAAAATCGAAAGTAATGAGATTATTTTCTAATAACTCCACAATATAAAGAAAAAAAGGGAGTTGGCCATTGATCCCATTTTGCTAAGTTAGACTATTTAAGGAAAAAAGGCAGCTCACAATTTCCTTTATGAACAAACCAAACTCACATGTTAATATATAACCACTATGTAACCTCTTTATCAATACTCTAATGAAAATAGAGGGCAGGCAAGTTGCTGAGGTACCACAAGTTGCCTCTAATCTTATTGAAATGTATTTGGTTTTATATACTACTAGTCGGTGCACACGGACGCTGCACGTGAACCATTTTTAATACAAAATATCTTAAATTAAAGTTGTAGAATATCTTCTCTAAAAGCAAGCCACTACTTTAATGAGTATAGATGAGAACCACATTTTATAAAAAAACACCACAGAAAAAACACCAGCTAGACTAAATCTAATAGAATGTTTAGTACAAGGAAGCAAAACTAATAACAATCTAAATGCGAAGATCAATTTACGAACATTAAACCCATATATTTGTAAAGTATGAGCCAAGTACAAGAATTTGTAGTATAATGTGTGTATGACTTAAAGTTTAGCAATTAGAGCATACGAATATATTCATTTGTCTTATACAAAGTACCAAAAAAATAAATTATAAACCCAAAACTATAGAAAAAAAATACAAAATAGCTTTGACAAAGTAGGAAGCGAATTTATAAAAGCACAGAAAAAGAATGTAATACAAATGCAAAAATAAGGATCGACTCAACGGGTAAAAACAATGATATTTTTATAAACGACGAAGGCTCGATTATGACCTAATTGAAAAGCAATAAAAGTGATACAACTTTCTCATTGTGACCTTGAACTTTTTAATTGTGTCAATTAAGCCCTTTTGTCTTTTTGTGCTGCATAGTCACGTGAGTGACATATTATAACGGAAATAAACAAAAAGGCTCAATTGACACAATTAGAGATTTTATGGACATCTTGATACAAAGATTATAGTTTGAGGACTATGTATGTGATTTACTCTAAAATCAATAAACAAAATAAAATCAAGGTCTTATTTAAAACAGTAAAATGTAATTTGCTATTTTCGGGACACAAGCTACCTATGAAGGCCTACTGAAAGGATACTCAGTATTACCCAATGAATAACAAGAAAAGTACATGTTGTGCCATTTAATTTTTCATGGAAAGGGCAAGTGTCCATTACAAGATGCACACCTAACATTTTTTCATGATGATGCATGTCATTGTCAGTTTAAGTTTTTTTTTTTTTTACGAAAATAATTGATTGGATTGAACTAATACCTATTGAAAGTTGGAGGACAAAATTCCAAAAAAATATAAATTTAAGGACCAAAGTTGGAACCATTGTAAACTATTGAGTGTGAAAAGTTAATCAATCCTAGAATTTATGTGATCATTCATGTTTATGAATGAGGATATACTGGGCTGGGTGAAGGGAACCCTATCTTGTAATACTTTAAAAGTTAAAATTAGTGAAACCTAAACTATGAAGAGCAAAGTCACTTGCACAAGTTAATGTGTCATTATTTTTTGTAGTACAAGGTAACATTAGTATCAAAGCAATCAAGATGCATGGTAACAAGCATAATCCAGTCCATTTGCCTGATATCACAGATAAACTGAAACATAACTGGATAGTTCATATTCTGTATCCATGGCCTCTTTTCCTTAAAATCTATTTAGCTTGCTTAAATGAAAAATTGGAACATATACAAGAAAATAAAGGAAAACGAAACAAGAAAACGAATTTCAAAAAAAGTGTCTAATTTATGGGTGCGATATCCAGAAACAAAATTGGTTGTCAACACGAAACAATTTCCTCCATTTTTAATATCATTGTTTCACAGGACGATATATATTGAACAGTTAGGCAGGATTGTTCTCCAAATGTGAGGCAAGAGACACTACTGCGAGTACTTTTCAAATCATTGCCCAATGTTTTAGACTCGAATGCATTTAGTTAGATGATTTCTCTTTAATGTCTGAAATTTGTAAATTTTGTTTCCTAGTCGCACTCACCCCCAACAACACAGCTAACCGAAAAAACATACGAACAACAACAAATCTAAAATAAGTCAAGCATATAACCAAAAAAAAAAGGAAAAAGAAAAACATATAGCTTTCACACAAATTGGCCAATAGTTAGAACAGATACACACAAAATATGATTCGATGATTCATAGATCAGACCACCTGATGCATGGGGAAGCAAAAACATCAAGAGAATAACAAATAAATCATCTGAGATAGAGAGGACCAGAGGATGCACTTACCGCCGCTACGGTGACGACCCATGATTTCAATTTAGAGATGCAGAACGAGAACCCTCTTCGGATAATTTGGGGTAGTTTGGTAAGATTTTTGGTTTTTTTGTCTTCCAAAAAATTAAATAATATTCGGTACAAAATGAACTTTAAATTGTAAATTAACTTATAATTTTATCAAAAATTTACATTTAATTTTGTACAATCTGTATTCAACTTTTTCAAATTAATATTAAATTAATTTTTATTGTTATCAAATTAATATTTAAATTTATTTAATCGATTTTTTGGAATACTAAATTATATCAATTTTTGGGTACTAAATTAAATTTTATTTGATTTTATTAAATTTTTAACTTTTTTGGTACTAAATTTGCAAAAGGGAAATTGTAAAAAACTATAAAATTTATTTAATCAAATAGCACATTGAGTATAAATATCAAATAATATTGAGCGCGAAATGAAATTTAAATTATAAATTAATATATAATTTTATCAAAAATTTACATTTAATTTTGTACAATTTATATTCAACATTTTCGAATTAATATTAAATTATTTTTTATTGTTATCAAATTAATATTCTAATTTATTTAACCAATTTTTTGGAGTACTAAATTATATCAATTGTTTTGGTACTAAATTAAAATTTATTTGATTTTATTAAATTTTTAATTTTTTTTTGGAACTAAATTTGCAAAAAGGAAATTGTAAAAAATAATAAAATTTTTTAGGATGAAATTATTAATTTTATTTAGCAAGATTGAGGGAAGAGAGACAAAGGAGGTCTTTATGCAATGAATTTCAAATCTCTGGGGATCACCGTATTATTATAAATTGTCAGGAGGTGTTCGTGTAATATTGACAAAACTCAAGAGATGTACGTGATTTTTTTCCCTTTTTTTTTAATTAAATATTAATTTATTATTATTTTATTTTAAATACTTGAATTATTATATATCTAATAAAAACAGTTTTTAGTTATGAGGGTTTGTTAGTAACCACAAAGAATTGTGTGTGGGTGTGTTTCTATGTATATTTATATGTGGAGGATTAGATATTTGATAATTAAATTGTGTCATTTGGGGTTGAATGGTGATAGTGTTGATAAATTCACGAGTTTTATAAATGAGCAATATTTGGTTTATTTTATTTATCTCTTAAAAATTGTGAATTTAATTGTAATTTGTTATTATTTTCTTTTTTTAGCTTGAGGTATTTATTACATAGCGATAAGATAGATTGAAAATATGTTGATTGAGTTTATAATTATATTGTGTTATTGGATTGAGTGTTAGTAGGTGATAAATTCGTAAGTCTTATAAATAAGTAAGATTTTATTCATTTTAGGAAAAATTTCACTCACACTTTCTCTATGAATAGGTCTAATTTCAGTGAAACCCTTTCTCGATTATGAAATTTCACTGACAACAGTCTTGGTCGAGTAATGACGACAATGATTCTTTTATCACTTTACCCTTAATTTTATATTGCTTATATGTATATGTTAAGTTTGTTTATATATATATATATATATATATACACACACACGCAGAACCCATCGCCCCTCCATAGCATCATCTGACACCTCCTCACATCTCCCCTCCTCTCTCTCCAACAAAACCCTTCCTTTCATGTTGAGATAGAATCACAAAATGCAAATTGAATTGAAGGTTTTATGATGGGTGTTGATGCAAGGGTTGTGGTGGTGGTGGGCATGTGAAATCTGGTAGTTGATGGGGCATCCTCTTTCTCTCTCTCTCCCGCAAACCCCTTCATTCCATGTTGAGATAGGAGCAAAAAGGGCAAATTGAATTGAGGGTTTTATGATGGGTGTTGATGCAAGGATTGTGGTGGTGGTGGGCATGTGAAATTTGGTAGCCGATGGAACGTGTGCATGCACGTTGTAGGAATGGTTGTTGTCAAGTGAGTTTGGGACAGATTGGGCATGGGTGTGGGGCTAAGTGGAAGTTGAATTCTCTCTCTCTCTAGCAAACCCTTCTAGTTATGTTGAGATAGGAGCAAAAAAAGATCAAATTGATTTAGGGGTTTTGTAATGGGTGTTGATGTAGAAGGGTTGTGGTGGTGGAGGATTGGTGGTGGTGGGCATGTGAAAATTGGTGGTCAACGGTGCGCGTGTGTGCACGTTGTGGGAGTGGTTGATGTCAGGTGGGTTTTGGACATAGGTTGTGGGACTGAGTGGAGGCTGCACACACACACACACTCTCTCTCTCGGCAGCATATAAGTGGGTGGGAATGATGGGTGAAAACAATTGGTTGATCTGTCCTGAATTTGCTTACTAGCTTGTTTGATGAATTTGTTGGACTGATGTTGTGCTTGCTACTGTAGTTGGTCTGTGGTGGTGCTGAAATGGTGGTGGTTTTGTGGAGACATGGTGCAGTGAAATTTCAGAATCGGGAAGGGGTGTCACTCAAATTAGACCTATCTATAGGGGGTATAGATGAAATTTTTCCTTTATTTTATTTATTGTTTAAAAATTATAAATTTCAATGAATTATGCTAGTATTTTTTTTTCAGAGGTATTTTTATATATGGTATTGTATTAACTTATTCATGAGTGATTTATATACTTGATTGTGTGGAAATTTTTTCAATAGAGTGGCAGCAACTCTCTTCTTAGTGCAGCCATTTGGGGGGGGGGGGGGGGGGTCATTAACTTGTGCTTTGGTAGAATGGAGGAAGTGGCGAGTCCAGGCAAAAGACCAATCGGCTGTAAACTAAGTGCCTGCTACAAGCAACTTGGCAGTCCTTTATATCTTAATCATGTTTTGATCGATATTAAAAAATTATTTTTCGATATCTAATTTAACAGAATGATGGAAGTGGAGATTCAAGGCAAATACCAATTAGTTGTAAGCAAAATGCCAGCCACAATCAAAATCACACCTTTTTTCTTTATGTAGACGGATAAACCTAGCTATTAGTGTGCATTAGCCTGGGTAGAAAAAAGGAAAAGGTTTAAAGGGAAAAGAAAGGGTTTTCATAAACCGTATGAAAACCATTACCTTAAGACTGTGACAATAATGCCCGAAGATGAAAAATCAAGGCTTTTTTACTCCTTGTCGTGCTAATCCTTGATTTGTGAGATTCAATGGGTGGCTACAATTGTTCTTGTAGAACTGCACAGGGGTTGGGGCCTCCTGGGGGGGGGGGGGGGGGGATAATGTGAGTGTCCATCAAAATCCACAAAGCTAACTAACGTCTTCTTTATTACTGGTTAGGGCACAAATCATAGGCAGAGATATTGAGCCACGAGCGAGGGTGGTAAAATTGAAGGGAGAAATTAGCAAAATTAAGTTAGGACGACAGTATAACCAGAGTAGGAAAGAGAACAATTTGAGCAACTGACCTTGAGATATTCACCAGCTGTTTTTTGAATGTCTACCATGAAAAATGTGGGAGCAACCTCAAATATCTGTTTAGAAAATGGATTCTTAACTAAAATAAAAAAAAGTGGTTGGCAATAATCATGGAGGATCAGGGCTGAGAACATAACATACTTCCAGAATTATTGAGAAATGAGACATCTTATTCACCAAAAGACCTTCCACCCTCATCTGAAAGGAAGTTCAATTTGAATGAGTTGAGAAAAAGTAGAGGACTTTTGGAATATTGGACCAACTACTTTTCATAATTAAACTGTTGAAAGTTCAACCTTATAATTACGGATGTGTGTCTTGAAACCCATTGATTGTACATTAGTTAAATTTTTTTATGAAGAGATGAGATTTGAGGGACTGAAGCTGTTGTGATAAATTAAGAAAATATACCTGGCCAAGGTCAAATATCCATGAAACGAATATCAACAAAATTCGACATGACTTTAAAAATACGAGAGTTTGTTAAGTATTATCTACAAGCATAAAAAAATGAGTTACTTATACTTAACTTTAGATAGAAACAAATACTTATAAGCAAACCAACTAGTTAAATGTTAATTCTAATTCTTTTCGTAGGTCACGTTCATCTTATGGATATATTACAATAAGACAATATTACACCTTTTTAAATGTAAAAATTATTAATTTTGTTTACTATTAATAAAGAATTACAAAAAATTACAATTTTTAAGTTGTTAAATAATAGTAAAATATAAAATATATTTTGTTATAAACATATCCTGAATATACCTAAATTCTTTTTTTTAGATTTTGTCATATAATCGTATCTTATCGTACCCTATTTGTGTTTCCCAGGTGGTAACGAAGTATTTCATATCAAAGTAACCATTCAAAGCCTTACGAACCTTAGGGTCATCAAAAGCAGCGTTGACATCATCCAGTTTAGCATCTTCATGTTCAAGAAATCTGACAGGAACATAACTCCTTTAAACCACTCATCATCCCTAATCTCCTCAATCCGAATACGCTGCACAAACACACATGATAGAGAGAGTGATAGTAAGTGCACTTAGAAGCAAAGTTCAATTGTGATAATCAATCAAGCTTATGCTTGATCATGGTTTAGATTACCCATGCCAACAAAAAGCTCAGATGTATTGGCACACATCTTCCAGATAAGATAAAACATAAATTCATAAGTAAGATGTTGGTGAATGAATCAATAGTCATAGTAACTAATAAGCTGCACACTCACATTAACCAACAAGAACAATAAAAAGAAAAAGATAGGACTCACAACTCCAACAACGAGATCCAAAGTGCAAAGGGGAACACATCCCTCTAGGTGGCATAATATACTGATGTGGAAGTTTGGTACTAAAGCGTCAAATGATTGTTCCGCGAGCCATCAAAAGTGGGCATCACATACTAAAGCATCTACTGATAACTGCATCGAGACCTCAAAGTGGAAATGACTACAAACCTGTTTCAAGTACCCTCTCAAAGACCAGCTTATATGAGCCAAATTGCTGTAAGTAGAGGGTGAATAGAGCTAATCTTCTGGGACAGCTTACAATACAATCGATCAATAAAGCAGCCGGGATAAAGGAGAACTATATTTTGATGTACAAGTTCCACACCATGTTCGGCATCGTATACGGAGGTCCTACAAAGACTTTTCTGTCTACTATTATCAATTTT